GCCGGATACCTCAACTGTTCTGAAATAACCCTGACTCTCGGTCCGGGAATAATGCATTATCACGCACCTCATCTCTGATTCCTCGACTAGCCTCCCACTACGGGATTTCATCATAAAAGCAAGCGACCTTACTCTCAAAGAATATACAAAACATAAACAATGAGGGCCACCGCCAGTTGATATGGTGAAGGCAACCCAAAAGGACCATGCTCACAATCGGGTCAAGTGCATACCAAAATAATTATGGGCTTAGATACTTAATCCAACAGTTAATATGACATAATATGTTTTGTAGCCTAAACCTGAAATCTATCCAAAAAAGCTTATGTAGTCGTTCCATATAGACTAATACATTTAGCCAATAAGGGTTAATGTTAAGTGCCCCTGCTTAAGCATGTAGGTTTTGAGTGAAAAAAATAAGATATGTAAGACACACACACAGAGAGTGAGAGAGAGAGAGAGAGAGAGGGAGATGGAGATATTATCGAAAATGTTGAAGAATTTTGGAGCTATCGAGTATGAAGATCAAAAGATCAATATTCCAAAGAATCAAAAATTTAAGATACCAAAAATCAAAAAGGTGGTGAATTCAAAGAAATAAAAGATCAAATATCAAAGAAGTGAATAATTCCAAGAGTTCCATTGTGGTATCAAAAGTTGTAACTTCTAGATTATGTATGCTTGGGTAGCATTACAAAAATACATTGAGGTTAAGAAAGATTTCTGAGGATTGATTTGGAGGGTTGCAAAAATGAATGCGATATAAGATAAGGGGTGAAGGTTCATAAGGATTGTGAGTATTTAGGAATGGGAAGTTCTAAGGAATTATAGACACAAATACATGCATTGCGGTCTTGGGATAATGGATGGGTTTAGAATGGATTGTTTTATGCAATACTGGTAAATCAAAAGTAAGGTTGCTTGGGGAAAGTAAAGGCTAAGTGTGGGGTATTTTGATATGTGTATATCTATACATATTTTTATATATTATATCTTAATATTTTAGCCTTTATTATTCTTATTTAGAACTAAAAGGTACTTATAAAGATTTTTATTATAATTTACAACTATTAGTTGTTGAAAGAGCGGAAAAGAAAGGATTGGAACGAAACTCAGGCTTAGAAGCAAAAAGAAAGAAAATTGTTGAAGGAAACCAGTATGCCCAGTGTAGTGTGAAGTACACCAAGCATACTGTTGAGATAAAAACTACGCCCAGCATAGATTCAAGAATGCCCAGCGTACTGGGCTTGGGTCTGAAGTACGAATCGGGATGGCTTTCTTAGTACCCCCTGCATACACCGACTTATGCCCAACTTATAGAGGTTGGTTCCAATGTTTATAAATAGTGAATTCGGCCAACCAGAGAGGAAATTTCAACTACCATCGATCCTTAGTCGACAAGTAAAACACATTTGGTCGTTTTGAGGGTCTAGAAGGTGACCGGAAGGTCGTTAAGCTGACAGGAGTGAATATATGAAGGATTAGAGAGCGGATTCGTGTCGGTGATCATGTAGTTTCGTTATCATGACCATGTTTAGAATTCCATTGTGATACTACTATGTTTTTACTATCCGATTTTGGAATTAAAACCATTTGCTTTGTGTTTATGATTAGATGAAACCTTGATTTATGGATTAATTCCTATATTGGATTGTTTTATTTATGTTTAATTTATCTTGCCACTATTGTTAAAATATCCTTATGTGTTAATGACAATTATTTTACGTTAATTATTAAGTATATTGAGTTGTATGAACATCTGTTTGATTGCTTCCCTCTTATGATTTTGATGACCATCAAGATTATATGTCTAGTAATAGTGAACATGAAATTAGGGTTAACTAGAAAATAAGTAAATTAATGTGTGAGTATATGTGACGACCAATCACATATGAGCTAATTGAATTAACTATTCGATTAACTATTATTACAAGTATTGCTTGATACGAACTGAAATAGCATGACAGGTCCCGAAAGTTGTTGTTTTCACAAACCACTTCCTGCATGCAAGGGATTTAATCAATAATTGTTGTTTGATTTCGACAAAGACGAGTGATCATGATATCCTGTAACAACAGCAAAATTCAGGTCAAAATTTAAACTTTTATAAAAACCGTAATTAAGTATACTAAGTGGTAGATATTGTAACAAGGTTTTCATACATATAAAGAACACTAAAATCCGAGTTATAACGAAGAAGTTATGACCATTCGAAGTTTCCCGACAAAAATCGGCAATACGAAGTTATGTAACAATGCAAAGTTTCAATAAAACACTTTTTGACCTTAGGTGTCTAAATGAAAGTCATAGATATCATCAAACCGTAACCGTACATAAAAAGAACGTCCAAATCTAACTTCGTATGAGGAAGTTGTGATTTTTCTAAGTTACAGATATAGCAGTAGACAGCTAAAAACTCGAAATAGAGATCGAAAGACTTTTGGCCAAAACAACCTAAATGAGAATCAAAGGGATCAATAATTCTAGCACAACGGTAAAAAGTCTGACGAAAACGGACGTCGGATGAAGAAGTTATGGAACTTTAACGGACTTTTCCTGTCCCGACCTATTAAAAATATAATATTAAAAATAAATTCAAAACTAGCCGACGGAGTCTAAACGAAAGTTGTAGATCGTAGTCTCACCTTCGCGTGGATATAAAGAACGTTGAAAACGGAGTTCGTATGAGAAAGATATGAATTTTTGAAGTTTGTTAATTAATTTAAATATAAATTAAATTAAAGCTCGGTATTATCCGAAGAAGGAGTCACCGGTCCGATCCCTCGTACGCCCAGCGTACTCGGATGCTAGGCTCCGGTTCGTCCACGTCGCTCCAATTTTTCGACCGAGGATGCGCTCATGCATGATGCATGAGTACGCAGCGCGTACTCTAGTACGCCCCGCGTAACGCAACCTCCCAGACCCCTATAAAAAGGATGCGAGGGTGCCGGCCAAAATTGCTAATTTCCTTCCTTTCTCGCGCTGAAGCTCTGCGTTTCAACCCTCGGAATCATCCCAAAGGCCCGGTTTTCATATCCAAGGTGGGAAGAAAGTTTTACACTCCCGAGACTCCCGAGATTTCCCGAGAATCTCGAGAGATCCGCTTTCTTGAGTAGAAGTTCTGCTCGGTTTTCGTCACGCTTTCTTCAATCGATCAAGTGAGTTCATAACCCTTTCAAACAAACTTTAAGTACATTTTAAATGCTTTTATACTCTTTTGGGGGGGGGGGGATACAAGTAAACATACGGTTATTATCGTGTATTTTATAAAGTTTCACTTCACTTGTTTTATCGAATAAATCACTTGGAACTCATTACTATTATGGAAAACTCTTGTCATACTTTGTGTGCATTAGACATTATACAAAGTATATAATGATTTCAAAGTACCTTTCATTGTTAAGTCGTTTTATGCATTCTAAAAACTTATGATTTTGCTTTGTCAAACATTGTGAAAAAGGATAAACTTTGCATACAAAACTATCACTTTAATATAGACTTAGTTGAGAGTCCATGAGACGTGTATATCTTCAAACGTTACTTTTCTTTATTAGAAAGTAATGTTGCAAGTCCTGTCTATAACCAGAGTCTCCCGTTCGGAGAACATGTCAAATGTGTATAGATCTATACGGGAAGTCATGATCCCACGCCCTGACTGTTAGCTATAGTCCGTCTTTTGGGGTGACAGTTGTCATAACGCTACGACGCCTGAAGAACATCGTTACAGGTATATTATGTTTAGTATGGTTATAAAACTCATCGGATATAAATTTATTATGGTATTATGCTTTTATGAACGAGTAGCTATTAAAACAATTCTTCATCTAACAAATGCGATCTTCGTATAGCTTTATTATATAAAACTATGACACAACTTTTAAGAACGTCGATTTTTAGCGATTTTCGATCTTAGAGACTGCCAGTTATGTTAGGAAAATAAGGGTTTTTCCTATATACAAACCAAACAACTAATAGGAAAATAAGGGATTTTCCTGGTGCAATTATTTACAACTTATAACACGAACATTCATATGCATTTCATACTTTTATAAGAAAATAAGGGTTTTTCTTGGAAAACACAACAATTCGTATCTCAACCATTAGGGAAAATATGGGATTTTCTGGATCTAATACATTCACCTTCAACACAACAAATCACAACTCTTTACATTTGAAATACTACGTTTTCTGGAAAACATACACGAACTTTCGAATGGCGTACATTATCTCAAAACACTACTCATGAACTCACCAACTTAATTGTTGACACTTTCTCTTTGAAATAACTTGTATTCTCAGGGAACCGCTAAGCAGATTTGGAAATCAACTTATGGGGATTAACGTACTGACGTTAATTACTTCTTTTGAAAGATGTTTATGTAGTTAACTTTTGAACATGTAACGAATACAATTATGTAAACATTTTGGAAACTTTAATGTATATGGTGGTGTGTACTTTCTTTTCTATGAACTGTTATGATACTGAATATGACGTCATCCGCCCCCGAATGTTTCCGCCGTTCTGGTTTGGGGGTGTGACATATCCTATTTATTTTTTGTTATTTTTTTTTTATGATAATGTGTCACTTGTCAGAAAGTTGTGGTTGTTGTTTGTAGAAATTGAAATATTAAGAAGTCCCCAAATGAATTAGTTGGAAAAAGGAAATTCATATAGAGGGAAAGGAAAAAAAAATGCATTAAATTAGGTCCATCGTAATCTAAATTATGCCAAGCGTACTCAACAAATCATTGCGACTGGGTTTTTCCTAGATTGACCATTATTCCCAGCATACGTGGTGTATACGCTTAGCGTAATGCAACAGAACGCGTACGCCCCGGATACTTAGGAGTGACGCCCAGCGTAAGTTAGTGACGGGTTATATCTTTCTTCTTTTACTTTTTATTCTTATTTCATATTTTATTTCATAAGTCTGTGGTTGCCGAATCCTCACAAATATTTCAAATTTTCTTCTTTTCTAGTAGAAATCGACACAAAGATTATGGCTCATAGAATTCAACAAAGGAACCCACCCGAGGACATGACCGATCACTGTTTCTTGCAATTCCCACGCAGCTTGAATGATGATACTCATAGCAATTATTTGAACAATTTGAGTTTGCTGCTCACTAAAGAAATTGACATTGCACCTTCATTCGATTGGGGAATGGCGTCCCGAATTGGACTTGATGAGCTGATCCGGAATTTTTTGCAATACACCCACTTGGATGTGAGTGGTGTGCCTTTGTTCGTATGCCGAGGTTGGTACAGATTGTTCAGGATTGTGGAACCTGTTTATTGGTAATTTTTTCCGGAGTTCTATTCTACAGTTTCCTATGATCCTAGGAAGACACCCGATGACAGGACAACTTTTTCTTTTCGACTTGGTGGTGTGAGTCGGGAGTGCAGCACGATTGAGCTTGCCACCAGAGTTGAGATTTATACTGCAGACGAGATGAGGAATGTCCACTTCCCAACATTCCTTGCTGATTGTGTTACAACACGACCGAATGACTACAACGAAAATACTTTTTGGGCTGAGATTACTGGGTGAGTTTACATACCATCTTTTGCTCAGGGGAAGATGATTCAGTCTACCACTTACATATTATTGCAACGTTATCTGGATCAGCGCATGTAATAGAGATTTCAGCACATGGTGAGTAGAAAACAGTGGTATAGGGATGCGTTGACCGCATTCTTTGCCCATCATGGTTTTAAGTACCCAATTCCTTTTCCTCCACCATACCAGTCGCGACATGATGGAACAGGCACATCAGGGACGCAACAACATGATGACAGGGATGATGAGTGACATAGTTATCCTTTTTAATTTATTTTTGGTTTGTTCGACTTATTAGTTTATATTTATATTTTTATATTAGTGTGTTTTAATTAGGATGTTTTCATTTATTTTTGGTTTATGTAGTATTGTTTTCCATGTTGATGCTCTTTGATTGTTTTAGATCTTTACAGAATTTTCGCCCTTAGAAAGCTGACAGTGAGTTCAACAGCTAGGTCTGACTGTTGCTTTATCATGAGAGAGAGAGAGAGAGTCGTGTGAGAGTTTGAAGTTTATAGTCAAGACCCACGACTTCTCATAAGTATGTGGTGCATGTCGATATTGTGAGAGTATATAATTTATAAGAGTGACATTTCTACCATATATTGATTTCTATGGTATGGATGAGCTGTTCCCATGCCTTGAAGTTTTATTTCGACACGAGGTAGAAGTATGATCCCGACTGCCATGACATGGTTGACACTTTCCTATGTCGTGGGGGAGTTTTTCATCATGAGAGGATGCTTTCATTCTCGATATCACGATGTGACCATCAATTACCATGTCGTGGTCATGCTATTGTTTGCAATACATATTTTATCTCACTTGAAGACACGATGTGGTCGACACTTTCCCACGTCATGTTCACTATACATTGCATTAGTTTGTAATCTTTTGCACCGCATTTTAGAAGTCGACGTTCTTGATTCTATTTATCGGCACGTTCAGAAGCAGCAGTTCTAGTTTCCAGTCTTCCAGCAATTTATGGAGCAACTTTTAGCAGCCCCATTCGATCTCGCCACTACTACCCCAAGGGAGTTTATTCCAATTCTCTATCTTTAATTTATGTTCTTTAATTATTTTATGCATACAATGAGGGCATTGTATGAAATTAGTGTGGGGTAAGGGGTCGAAAAAGTTATTTAAATTGAAAAATTAAAAATTGCTAGATTAGGAAAATTAAAAATTTTATAAACTTGAAATAATAGTTTAATTTAGGGAAATCTAGTAATAATTGATTTTTTTTGCTAATATTGTGTGGGATGATCTGATTAAAACTCAAAGTTCAACATATGTTATAGTGTATTTGTGGCTTCCCATTTCTTAGTGAAAAGCCATGAGATATGAAAATATAATCTGGTAGTTTATATGACATAATATGTTTTGCTGCCTAAACCTAAAATCTATCCAGGAAAGAATATGTAGTCATTGCACATAGACTAATACCTTTAGCTAATAAGGGTTGAGGTTAAGCGCCCCTGCTTAAGAATGGAGGTTTTAAGTGAAAAAAAGTGAGATATGTGAAAAAAAAAGACAGAGAAATTACCGAAAAAGTTAAAGAATTTTGGAGCTATCGAGTATGAAGATCAAAAGATCAAAATTCCAAATAATCAAAAATTGAAGATACCAAAAATCAAAAAGGTGGTGAATTCAAAGAAATCAAAGATCAAATATCAAAGAAGTGAAGAATTCCAAGAGATCCATTGTGGTATCAAAAGTTGTAATTTCTAGATTATGTATGCTTGTGTAGCTTTACAAAAATACCTTGAGGTTAAGAAAGATTTCTGAGGATTGATACGGAGGGTTGCAAAAATGAATGTCATATAAGCTAAGGGGTGAAGGTTCATAAGGATCGTGAGTATTTACGAATGGGGGGTTCTTAGGAATTATATATACAAATACATATATTGCGGTCTTGGGATAAATGATGGGTTTAAAATGGATTGTTTTATGCGATATTGTAACATCCCCATTTTCACGGCCAGAAAAGACCGATTTTGTTTATGCTTTATAAAAATCAGACTACCTATTTTAATAAAAATGTTGCGGAATTTGTTCCAAGTAAAACATGATAAATACGTTATCAATGCATTTTTGAAGAAAAAGTATTTTTATTCATTTTAAAACATTTGGGATGTTATCGTCAATACAGAAACATAAGCACAAACAGAACTTACATTCATTATCACTAGTGATTTATATCTCCTTAATCTCCCAGTGTAATGTGACTTCATATCAACACATGTGATATAAATAAACCGAGTGGGTTAGGTTGGGAAACCTAGTGAGTACATAGGGTTTTCAACCCACAATAATATAATTATTATGTTTAAACATCAAACAATCAACCCAATTACCCATCCCCATTATCTTCCTTACTCTTAAGGGTCTACCCTAAGAGTCATCTATCCTACATTCATTCATTTCGAAGTCCCTTGCTTCCAGGGTTTATAAGACATACACTAATTCCATAGCTGCCAATGCACTAAATCCATAGCTGCTAAAGTTCATTCATCAGGTACTAAATCTATAGCTACCACTGTCGGTACTAAGTCCATAGCTACTAATGTTTATCTAACATGCACTAAGTCCATAGCTACCGGGTAATAAGTCCATAGCTACCAACACCTAACAGGTACTAAGTCCATAGCCACCCGTGCTTACCTAATAGGTACTAAATCTATAGCTACCAGTGTTTGTCCAATAGACACTAAGTCTATAACTTCTGATGTTATTTATTAGGCACTAAGTCTATAGCTACCACTGTTTGTCCAATAGGCACTAAGTCCATAGCTGCCGATGTTATTTGTTAGCCACTAAGTCTATAGCTGCCAATGTTTACTCACGTCATCTTTTATCTCTCATTATTCATCTACCCATTTCATACCCAACATATTTGTAGATATAAAATACATATACAGTTTAAATCATTTTAAAACATGTATAAAAATCTTTCATCAATATAGACAACAAGTATTCAGACAATATGCACAGATAACACGTAGTTTATATTAAATATTTCATATCTATGTGTAAGATGAAAGTAGCTATGCACTCACAGGGTAAGGTGGTGAGTCGGCACTCGGACAACACTTCGTTACTCTTAAAACAATTATCCCTTGACGAAACTTAGTATCATTATCACTAGAGTTTAGTCTAACGTTTGACGAGACTAATTAATAGTCTAGCTATTATTACTATTATATAAGCATTAAACAATACTTATATAACCCATAATAATAGCCCAAATACTTCTTATAAGTTCCTAATAACATTACTATATTGAAACATAAGCTATACTAAAGATAGGTTAGATGTAGCTCACTTACAACGAGTTTTCTAGAAAACTGAACTTCACTGGAGCAGCGTTTTCGATCTGAAAGGCTCTCTTCTCGGGACTTTGTGAGCCTTGGGGACTCCTTCGGGTGCTAGGGGGTATACCTTGGCTTAGGGGGTTTTGGGGGCTAGAAAGAGAGTTTAGAGAGAGAAAGAAGAGGTTGGAATGGTGTGAAGAATAAGGGAACCCAACACCTCTATTTATAGGTTGAAAAATAGCTCTACTCGTTGAGTAGGAGGACCTAATCATCGTGTCCATTCCACATGTCACCTTCTGGTGGCTTTCCTTCGGGAGAAAGCCTTGACCCATATTCAGCCACGTCACCCGATTTCGCACATCCTATTGAATTCTAAACCCCTTAACTTTTGCATACAACATCCGTTTTTGATGTTCGTTATATCCACGCATAGGTAAAAACAATATCCACAACTTTCATTTAGACTCCATCGGCTAATTCTCGATCGATCTTAAATTTAACAGTAGAAGGAGATTAGACTGTTAAATGACTGCGAACAATTCATAACTCCTTCATACGGACTCCGTTTTCATCTGTCTTTTTACTGTTGAGTTCCTATTAATGATATATTCAATTCTCATTTAAGCCGTGTAGGCCAAAAACCGCTCGAACTAAAATTTGAGTTTCAGGTCATGCACTGTTATGCCAAATCTTAGAAAATTCATAACTTCCTCATACGAAGTCAGATTTGAGCGTTCTTTTTTTTTGTATGTTTTTGGTTTAACATATACTAAAACTTTTGTTTAGATTTCTGTGGCTAAAAATTCATCCATCATAAATTCACTATTTACTTCTCCCGGTGTCGTGCGTTTTGCAGTAAAACTTCGACGGGCCATAACTTCTTCGTTATAACTTGGATTTCGGCGTTCTTTATATGTATGGAACCCTTGAGAAATATTTTACAACTTGGTTAAGGTTATTTATTCTAAATAATCTTTTGTCAAAAATTCGTTTTCGAACCCTATTATCTCTAAATTGACTAGCTCGGATCTATGGGCATTACAATTATCTCTCCCTTAGGATGATTACATCTCAGAATCATCAACGAAATAGGGCTCACATGAGGACTCCATATGATATCTCGTAATCTTAAGTAATGACCGTAACTTTGATGTTTCTTCAAACGAGTATCTAACTCTAAGACTTCCTAACTGCAGGCGGTGCCCGATCTTGGACCCGCTCTCTATCTCATGTTAGACTTTTAATCATGATATTCATGTCACGATCTTGATATTTATTGGAGACTCCTTCTTTAACAAACTTGAGATAACTTTCTTCCTTCGATTATCATAATAGATCGATGGGTCATGTTCTAATGACCTCTCATCGTATGATACATTGCTTAGACTCAGGTCTTTTAGAGTCAAATTCTAGAACAGACTATACCTTCCTTCATTTTCTAATCACATCTTAAAAGGTAGCATTTCTAGCTACAAGCAACCGTCGCGATACCTCTACTGATTGCTTTGATTAATTCTTCTAGCTTAAGTCAGGTGCTACATCGAACTTGGTTCTCGGAACCATGTAACATACTTGTCATAGTCAGACACAATTCGATATGACCACTAGTATCGGAATAACAATCATCTTCTTAGTCATTACCGAAACGATGGTAACGACATATTTGAATAAAATTGT